AGCTGACGTAACAAACCTTGAAAAAGCAATTGCGGTGACAATCCCATTAGTATTTAGCTTTTGCATCGTTTCCGTCTTTCCACTGCGTCGCTCACAAATATGGATTTGTTTAGAAGTTGTAGCTACAGCCGTTTGCAGACAGAAAGCGTCATCTACATCCGGATTGGAATTTACGGTCACACACTGCACTGATGACCGATTAGATAGAATCTCAAAGAGAAAAAAACATTATAATCAAAGAGATCAAAGAGTTCAACTATTGTAAATAATGAGTAGTCCATACCTCAAACGAGTCCAATCCTATCTCAAACAATACGTTGTCACATAACACTAACAAGATATCGAGTGCAGAGGCGAATTCTATTTGGCGGATTTCCCGCCTCTGAACAGCATATCAAGAAGCGATGAAAGGAGAAAGGAGAGATAAAGGACTCACTATTGGGAGTTCTAGATTCCCAGCGACTTTGAAGTCTTTTTTATGCTTTTTTACATGAATTATTCGACCTTCAGAAGTACCTACGAAAATCTGGGAAGAAGATCCTCCAGTACTGCTTATCTGGACGATAGCAAGACACTTTTGCGATTAAATGGACGCAAAAGAAAATTTAAGCTTCAAATAACCTCCTCATTCTGATGTAAGCGCGAAGAGATATCGCAGCAAGGTTTCAGTTCAAACAAATCCACATTGGTGATGTCATCATCCATCGTCTGAAAGCATGCAGAATAGCATTTTGCAGAAGTCAGACAGAAGGATAATCCGCTTTAAGAAAATTGTTTTTCAGTGTCAAATAATTGAACACACCGCAAAAAATGAAAACAAAGCAACAAATCTAATTATTTACTTAAAAGCTTGCAAGCTCACAGTGAATATCTGCTAAACTCGTTGTAACAATAAGGCGCCCGTCTTTTATATTCATTTCACCACGCATAGAAAAGTTAGATAATAAATTAGAACTGGAAATTTCCCAAAGTTCTTCGCACTGACTTGCCGCGCAGGTGGTACCGAGTATTGTCGAATCTTTAGATGAGATATTCCCAACTGCAGGCATTGCGAGGTCAAGAAAGCAATCTATAGATAGCAGCATATAAGAATACCTACTTTAGGGACTGTATTGATATGCCCTATGAGCGTGCACCGTCAATCCCGCAACTATATGTGCTTATTGAATGGGCTATCGCAGCAACCGAATTAATTCATTCCCAAAAAAAGGTACAAATGTCTCTGTGCCTCTGCAGGCACGTAAAATAGCAGTGAGTTTTTAGAGATTTCCTATCTACTTTTCACTTTCAAATACACATACGAACAGAACACTCCAGCAGATGCCCTCTTCCAAAAAAAATAGTGCGATTGCTTTATTTCTTTTTTTGAATTGGCGTGGCGTCCCTTTTCTTAGAAATCTATCGAATCCATGCAGCTCCGCCTTATTTATGACAACTTTCCATTAAAAAAGAAGCAAATCGAAAGGTCGCTTACCAAGATAAGCACTATAACAGTTGATATATAAAAACTAATCAAAGCGACGAGACAGCTACAGCAACACTCCATGCAAATGGCATCAAGCTCATGTGCCATCTCGCATCTTGCGCATACGAAATGAGAAACGATAAGAAACGATAGAATAGCATGATTTGAAGATCTGCGGAAAAAACAAACTCAGAATACAAACGTGGGAAACAAATAAATTTCGCGACCAACATCTGCTTGAGTAGTCTCTTTCATCTCGTACTTGATTAGGAGGAGAAATGGAAGAATTTTCAAAGCCCACTTTCCGTCTTCCTCGCTTTGCAGAAACAACTGAGTTCTGGACTTGCTGCAATTTAGATGCAGCTTCTTGTGCGAACTGTATATCAAATTGGACTTGGACAGCAACTTGAAAAAGAGGTTTCTAGAACCATGCTGGCTCCTGATTATCAATCATCAGATAAGCATTGTGTTCAGGATTATGTAAGGTCTTGGGTGATCGCAAACCGTATACTAGTGAATAAGGAACGATACGCTATTTGAGCATTATTCGGCAATAATCACTGTATAATGCAATATAGGGTGTAAGACGATTCGTTGAAAGAATGCTCCTTTCAATAAGTCCTAACGTAATCTGAAGCACAGCAGAAGGACGAACTTATGGTATAAGGCAGTAAACTATTACATATCTTCCAGTATTGAAACCTAAATGTTCAATTTTTGAAGTATGCGTAGTTTCAACCAGCTCCAATTTGTGCAACAAAAGTGATAGAAATTTATAGAATAACAGACCGGACAGAAATTCCACTTGATAAGATGTATGCAATTTGGAAGCTAGAACGATGTTTGGCATTTGTGTAACCGACAGCCACTCTACGAACCAGAGAAAGTACCCAATGAGATCAACAACTTGATGCCAAATAAAACGCTGAGATACAGAACGATACACGTAAATGAATGTTATAATATGCCTGGAAAGAATATTTGACGGACATTACATGCAGCTAAGGAGCTGGGGACTACAAAACACATGGCAGAAAAGGGAGATGCTACGGTAATCAAACATGAAAATTGCGAATAACGGTAGAAGTGACTGGAATTGAACAGTTGCTCAAAGAAGAGATGAAAACATGAACCCAATAACTTAAACAGCTAAAAGTTTACAATCAAAAAAAGTGCAAAGAAAATTTTAACAAAACAAACGGCTAACTAGAAAGCATCCTTCATTTGCTGAAACGGTCTTAACGCTAGATCGACTGGAAGTTCGACATTATACTTATGCAAGTCCTCCAGCAAAGTGTAGAGTTCCTCACAACCTGGAAAAGAAGGACACTTCAGGCATAGAAGAAGAAAAATGCTTCAAATCTCATGGTAAATAGTCGTTGCCATGATAGTAAACAAACTAAGTATCAGATAAAATTAGAAGTTCAAACTAGCCCGTTCTAGCGACGTAACTCCAAGGATTATAACACATCTCCACTACATAGCGCGCACGAAAAATTATTCTAGAAAGAAATGATCTTAAACAACATAAGCATAGAAAATTCTTCAGATTACCGCAACCAAGCAGGAAGTTTCTTTTCATTCATAGCAGCAGATACGAACGCCTTCCATTGAGCATCCTTGGATCTATGCAGGCGAGCGTGCGAGGAAACAATGTTCTCTATTGTTGTCAGCAAAATCTGAAAATACCTCGATTCATGTTGCGATAAAGTACTTCAAACAGGTGCGGTAACTTGTAATTGCGACTGATTTCTCGGCAACAATGAAAGGAAGAATGTGGCACATGTTAGGTTTTTGAAGATAAGCAAATCAAATGATTTGGATAACGCAGATTATGGCTGTTTGCTACTGATAGACACACAGGATTCAAAATGGTGCCCCTGTTTTTGGCAATCAGGCGCCCGAACTCCAAAATTGGTGTCATGATTGGTCACGTAAAAATTGGACGTCAATATAAAAAAACGGGCTCACAAAATGATTCGAAAACCCTATTCCTGCAAGAAAAAATCTAGTAAATGGAATCAAAAATTTCAGTAAGTGAAACATTAGCGCTGCATTCTTTACAGAACTGAAACAAAGGCCGATACTGAGGTTAGGCATACTTGCTGTCAGGCTAGAATTAGCTAGCCGACTTCCTCTAGATGTAACTATTTCTAAAGCTATAAAGCCCAAATTAGTACGTTAGGCAAAAGAAGACCTTTGAATTCAGCAGATCCATAACCGACGAAATTTTCGTCTCTTTCTATGACATCCCCGATGTAGCGGCAGAACATGTCAACTTCGATCAATGAGTACGAAAAGAGAGTACTTCTCGCTCGTTCTTAACACTTTCTCACACACTCCAGCTTCTTCGAATCAGTATAAACATTTTTCGTCTTCCACTCTGTGTTTTCGGCGAGTTATTATGGTTTCGCATTTGTTTGAAGTGAGCACGGGAAATCAGTAAAAGAAGAAATTTATCTTTAATTAACTTTTGTTCAAAAGTAATTCCGGGACTTCATTAATCTTTCAATCGTTTAATCGTGTGTTCAGGGGTCATACAAGTTTGATCCCATTTTTCAAAAAAAGAACACCGAACAATTTAGATGCAACAGTGAAACTTATCACCATATCTTACTGAAAAACGATAAACCCAATGAAACGAAGGAAAACTAATGATCCAAGAATTACGTTCAAATAATTGCTTACTAATGAGTCCTTTCTGCTTCTAAGTTTCGGGCGCTCGCCTGGAAATAATCTAAAAATCACCACCTACTGAAAACCAGCAGAAGATGGCACAGGTACATTTCAAAAGGTATAAAAAGTTATAGGAAAAACTAGAACAATCAGGAAACAACTTCTCGCTCGCAGTAATCGAAGTCAACCTGCTCTGCAGTCACATAAAGGATTTTGTGAAATCACAGAAAAAAGAACGAGAACTTGGCGTAACTATACTTTGTTTGAAACACTATATGGGAGCTGGTAAAAATTCCAAATATCAAGAATACTTTGTTGCTCTGATCGAAAATATAGAAGGAATAATGTACCTGTTTAGAAGTAATGCTCTTTCCAGCCACATTTTCCAACTTGAAAGACTGGCTTAATTTCCGCACAGGTGCATCGTTAAGTTCGCGACCATTCTTTGAGCTATAGAAAAACAGAATAATATCCCAGATATGTTGAAGAGGGATAGCTTTGTTGGAACCTAGAAGGCTGGTACACAATTTGTAAACGGAACGCAAGATACAGAAAACGGGAATAAAACTTACGCGTGAACGCC